TTATGAAGCAGAGCTTCCATAATCAGATCACACATTTGCAAGGATCGGGCTATCCGGATCATGTTTTAGTTTCAGTTGCGGAAAAAGAGTTGGAAAGGATTCGTGGAAGTTCAAGCCAATCTAATGTTCATGTCGATTCATCGGCACAATCAAGACGCACGGCCATAATTCTATATGTTCACCAGCTGTCACATGACCTGAAGAAAGTGGCACTTCGGGACAATATTAGGGTGCTATTTTCAGTTCGTGATAAATTTGGGAAATTGTGTGTGCGAACGAATCCATCACGTGGGGAAAGCGTGTTGTGCACAAAAAGGCATACACACAAATTTGTGGAGTGCATTTCGTTCGTTATTTTTCTTATTTTGTTCACATGTGGGAAAAAATATGTCGGCCGAACCAGTAGGTGTGTGAATGAGCGATTGAGAGAACACAATTACAAAATGGGAAAACTACCGCCAGAAGGTTTTCTCGCTCTTCACATTCACGCGTGTGGGTACCGGTCTTTGTTCCAGAGTACAATAATGGTTGGTCGACATAAGGATGAGATGACTGGGTTGATCATAGAAGCCGAACTTATTGATGCTCTTGGAGATGTATGTATCAGCAAGCCTTCAATTGCTTTGTCACTCAAGGAACTGAAGTTCCTGCGTACGCAGTGATACGTGATTTTATCTGTGCAATTTTTTTGTTGTCCTATTTATCGTTTTTTCTTGTAGGTAGATGAGATTGTCGTGCATTTATCTGAATACACGTGCTTATCTGCTTGCTTGCCTGACGATTATGGCTTAAAAGCGGCTTGGAGGTCGAAAATAAACATGTTGTTGCTAGTAGCGCTCTTTCCTCAGTCTATTCCTTCCTGTGTCCGTTTTTTTGCCTCGCGCTACACAAATTTCTTTCAAATGAATACCGAAGTTCAAAACAAACAAACTGCCGATAAAAATTCGTGCTTAGGCATCAGGCCATGCTTAGGCATCGTATATAGCAAGTACGTTGACAGAAACTACCGTCAATTTCTTTCAATCAATGTTTCTTCCTCAAGCTGGTTAATGTGCAGTGAACAACGGTTTCCGATGTGCATGACATGCAGATGAAAAGGTTCTCGTTTGTCGTACTAAACATGATCGAGCGATAGTCATCCAGAATGTAGCAAACCTTGACATGCTTCTCAAAAGCTGCGGCACAAAATGAAACTGCCTGTATTTTTCTTTTTGTTTTGCCTTTTGCTTCATTCATCAGTTATGAACTTTCTGAAGCTATCTGGACGACGTAGCTGATTAAGGTGGCGGCGTGTGGCATTTTTACCGATGTCGACGTGCCATGACCACAAACCTGTGCGTCTGAGCACCGTTGCTTCAACCCAGCCAGGCCCTCTGTTAAACTGGCGGGCATATATATGCTGCCCACATTCAATTCTCCTGCTATGCGGGAGCTTTTCTTCCTCTAACAATGTCCCCGCAGGGGCATCTGCGCAAGCAGGCGTTTGGTGTGTGCCTTGATAACACCACGGACCCGAGCCAACAGAAGGGTTTTGACCTCCTCCCACGCTTCGCCGTGCGTGGCTTAGCCGTGTCTAGGAGAAAGGGGATCCTGGGGGTTAAGTTGATGCCGGGTGATTGGACCTTCAAGGCCCCTTGGCAGAGGCAACACACCCCTTTGACCCCGGGTTCACGTAGACAGCACCCCTGGGCTGACTCACCCAGAGGAAATCGGCAGACGCCTTTTCCTATCTCTCTCCCCTACAACTTCGTCTTTAACTCGCACTGTTTTATTTTTCCTGTCTGCTTCTCCCTTCTGTTTACTTCCGATTTTTCCTAGCAGCAATGGTTAACCTTGTGTATGTGCTCTGTCTTGGGCACAATATATTTGGTTATAGTGGCTGTGTACAGCTGACGTTGACATGCCTCATACAATTTTAGGACCTGTCACTTCACCGTGTTAGGCTCCATGGTGGGCGGCAGGCATGGCTGCCGAATTTACACCTATTTTATGGCTTCTACTTTTTTCCCTCCACTGCACGATTGTCCTCTCTCGAAAAGAGGGTGCACCGAAGACATTTCCAATTGTTTCAAAAAACTAAAAGAAACTTTTCCTGGCTACCATGTAATTCACTGTGAAACTGCTGAAAAGAACGCCAGAACAATCTCGCCTTTTGTTGTCTCCAAATGTCTCACAACTGCACTTGGTCCAGGTTAGCAGTCCAAAAAAATGGCCAGTGGGGATCTTCTCCTCAACGTAAAAAGTGAGGCCCAGTATGAAAACCTCTCAAAACTAGAATCGTTTGGAAACATACCTATCTCAATTACACCACACCGCTCACTCAACACTTCCCGAGGCGTTGTATCTGATCAAGACTTGCTTGGTCTGACTGAAGGTGAGCTCTTCGAGGGTTGGAAGGACCAGCAGGTGACACAAGTACGAAGAATAAAAATCAGGCGTCATAAGAAGGAAGTTTCAACAAAACATATAATTGTGACATTTCGCCCCAGTATCTTTTCTGAACATCTCGAAACAGGATACTTGAAGTTGAAATGTGTGACCCTAGATCCCCAATCCATGACGTTGCTTTAAATGCCAACCTTTTGGTAACGGCTCTCAGAGTTGCCGCGGCCAACTCACCTGTGCAAAGTGCGCCACTACAAGACACGCCACAGATGATTGTAAGGTGGAGGCTGGGGCCCACTGCACAAACTGTTTGGGAGTATGCGTACCCCGCATACTTCTAAACGTGTCTAACATGGAAAAAGGAAAAGGAAATAATCGCAGTCAAAGTCACACAAAACCTAACTTTCCAAGAAGCCCGACAACATGTATCTGGATTTTTCACAAATAAATCATCGTTCGCCCTTGTAGTGCAAGAAATGTCTTGCAAGTGCAACAGGGGACAGCACTACAGTGGCCTGTGGGAGCAGCCCATGCTAGGCACATTGTGCCCATGCGGTTGACAATGCCTCCCCCACGGTGGGAACAGTCAAGGCTGCCCTGCCACTTGTCCCCACGGCCACACCGGCAGCCGCAGCAAGCTCTTACAGCAGCCAGGGTGGCACAGCAGCTAAAGAGGTTCGCTCAACCTTTGGCCTGATGGGACCAAAAGTTTCAGCTCTCGAAGTGAACATGACCCCAGGGTCGACATATAAAGGCTTCGTCTCACCAGGTGAGGCCCCAAGATCACAACACCAGCTCGCAAATGCGGGCACGCAGTGCCTCTGTGGAGGCAATGGACACCACGGTACCCTTGGTGCCAAAAGATCGGCGAAGCTCTCTGGTGTGGACTAAGAGAAGTAAAAAGCCTGTAACTGGGCCCAATGACGGCCCTGTTACTTGAGTCTTAATGTCCAGCTTAAAGAGCAGTCACGCCCCGCCGCGGTGGTCTAGTGGCTAAGGTACTCAGCTGCTGACCCGCAGGTCGCGGGTTCGATTCCCGGCTGCGGCGGCTGCATTTCCGATGGAGGCGGAAATGTTGTAGGCCCGTGTGCTCAGATTTGGGCGCACGTTAAAGAACCCCAGGTGGTCGAAATTTCCGGAGCCCTCCACTACGGCATCTCTCATAATCAAATAGTGGTTTTGGGACGTTAAACCCCACAAATCAATCAATCAAAGAGCAGTCACACCGATTTTGTACACAAAACACTACATTACCCCCAATATGGGTACAAAAATTATACATTGGAACGTCGGAGGACTGCTTAGAAACCTCGACGATGTCCAAGAGCTCTTATACATACATTCAAGAAAACTGCTGTGTGTACAGTAAACACTCTTAAAATCTAAAAACACAAATTTTTTGCGTAGTATGTTCTATTCCAAAAGGACAGAGGTGATGCTGCGGCGTCATCTGGTGGTGTAGCAATTATTGTTAATCAGAGTAGCATGCACACATTTACCAATACTAACATCCCTTGAGGCAGTGGCTGTTCTAGTAGTTCTTTTCTACAAACTCGTCATCATCTGCTGTCTGTACATACGTCCACACCACCGCCTTGAAAAACGAAAATTCCAGTCCTTAATAGATGAACTACCTGAACCTTATCTGGTCCTTGGTTACCTGAATGCCCATAGCAGTCTCCGGGGTGATTCTCGCTGCAACGCACGAAGTAGGCTCATTCAACTGTTTTTTTTCTCTTCTGATGTGTGTCTTAGATTGGAAAGAGGCAACATATAACCTTTCCAACAAAACTTACTCCTTCATAGACCTCAGTATCACATCTCCCTCACTTGTACCATTACTCCAATGTAAAATTATAAATAATCTCTACAAAAGTGACCATCTTTCTGTCGTTTTGAGTACACCAACATCATACGAATGTCCTTTACGTGTTCTCAAATGGCTGACAAACCACGGCCGGGCTAGAGAGCGAGCGGCGCGCGCGCTTTCATACGGCCTCCGCAGCGGCGGCGAGAACAAAGGGGAGGAGTCTCGACGTACAGTTCCGCCGGTCTCCGCACGGGGGCTACGCGAGCCAACCCTTGCCTGGCACTTGCGCTGCTTGCCCGCTTGCATTTGCAGGCTGCTTTCGACGCACGTGCGGGCTGTTTTCGCTGTGTTTGTGCTTCTGTGATTTAACCGCAATCACATCGTCTTACTTTTCTTCGGTCTGAGAGAGGCTGAAGGCGTGAGTTTTCAGAAATTCATCGCAGTGCGCTGCATGTTGTTCAACATAGTAAAGTGAACTCAGTGTATATGCTTCGACCGGTGCTGTGATGGTGTACTGTTGTGTCCCGTACTGCAAATCGCGTGCCGGGAAAACGCCGGGGGATTCGTTCCACCAGTTCCCTGTGGATCAAGAACTGTGCTCAAAATGGCAGCGGAACATTTCAAGGTAGAACCTCGTAATAAACGACAGGTCGCCGTTGACTGTCGTATGCAGCAGGCACTTTCGTCAGATCGATTACGCTCCTGACTGCAGGATAAGAAAGCTGCTTCCCGGAGCCGTGCCAACTGTCTTTGAAGATTATCCCGTATACTTGGCGCCAAGTGCGAAAAAGCCCCGGAAAGAACCAGTCGTAAGACAATCTTTGCCCCCTCGCAAACCAACTAAGCGGAAGGCAGAGCCAGAGGAACTACCTGCGGGTTTGGATGCTCCGGAGAGTTTCGACAAGCCGTCTGCAAATGTTTCCACCCAGACCACTAACAATGATGCGCAGCGAGCAAGTCGGTACCTTTCTATGGTTGGAAGACTGCGTTCTCAAGTCGCCTATCACCGTTCTCAAAGTCAGAAGTCTCTGTCTCTGCTGAGAGCTGAACAAAAGGCAAGCGAGGCGTACCGTGCAAACAGACACTTGGCTGCACTTGAGGAAATTGTGGCAGACGCTGAGCGAGGAGAAAAAAAGGCCGTTTTCCTTCTACATCAGATCGGAAGGTACGGGAAAAAGCATGACAGTTACCCTGAAGAGTTCATTCGAGAGTGCGTAATATGGCGTTTCATTTCGCCGAAAGGATATGACTACGCTCGCGCGTCGGGCCTTTTAACCTTGCCTGCAAAGTGTACTCTACAGAGGTACATGGGTCCATCCCCGACGACATCCGGAATGAGGGCCGCGATGAAGGAGAGGCTCGTTTCCGAGGCGTCGATGCTGAGCAGCAAGCAGCATATGGCCTCCTTCATAATCGATGAAGCAAGCATCAGACCCAAGTGCATCTATGACAGGAAGGCCGACTCTGTGTTTGGCCTTAAAGACAAGCCCGGCGGTGATACGCCCAGCAGCTCGAAGGAAGTGCTCGCGAACAGAGTTTTGTGCTTTGTATTGCAAGGCCTGTCAAGCAAGTACAAAATTCCCTGTTCGTATTACTTCACAAAACAGCTGAGCGGCAGGGACCTGTTCACGTGGACAAAAGAGGTGATCGCTGCGGTGGAATTGTGTGGTTTCGTTGTGACCCGCATTGTGACTGACAATTACTCAGCCAACGTCACCTTGTTTAAACACTTGGGGAGTGGCTCTCTGCAAACAGTCATGAGGCACCCACACGATGACAGCCGCATCATTCTGCTCAGCTTCGATCCTTGCCACGTCCTGAAGAATGTGCGCAACCAGTTCCTGGAGCGACAGCTTACGGATGGCTCAGGTGTGATTAGTGGCACCTTCGTACAAGAGCTGTACGAGTACCAGAAGAATATGACAATCAAGCTTGCCAGGAATTTGACGAGGAAGCACGTCTACCCTACAAACCTGGAGAAGATGAATGTACTTCGTGCGGTTCAGATCTTCTCCCCACAGGTTTGTGCAGCACTGGAACACCTCGAAGAAAACTCCCGCAATGACCCTGCACTCTCCGCATTTAGGCGAGCAAGTTCCACCGTGCACTTCATGAGGACAATGAAAGATTGGTTTGATATGCACGACACCTCTTTCGGGGGAACGGGGCAGAAGGCCCCCATTGCAGACGTGGACGATGGCCGGCTATCGTGGCTAGAAAATGACTTCACGTGCTATGTAAAGAAAGTACAAGCAAGCTCAGTCGCCTCTGGGAAGGGCGCTTTCACCGAGGAAACGTTTGAGGCCCTGCTTTTCACTACAAAGTCAACAGTGGAAACAACTCGATACCTCCTAACCCAAGGCATCAACTACGTGCTAACAAGGAAGCTAAACAGCGACCCCATAGCAGCAGTATTCGGCAGAGTCAGGTACATGTGCGGTGGAAACGACATGCTCGACGCCCGGGCTGTGACGGCTGCTTTGGACCAAATTGTAAAATCCAAGTTCGCAAGGCCACCTGAAGTCGTGACGTGCGACACTGATGTTGACAAGTTGGTCAGTAGCCTGTCGGTGACGTTCTCTGACGACCTGAAAGAGCTTAGGGAATGTACTTCCGCTCCCCCACTGTCTGTGACATGCTCTGGTTTGGCCTACGTCGGCGGTTACATCGCGAAACTGATCACGGACTTCGGGTGCGAATCTTGCGCCATGCTCCTCACTACAAGCGACAAAGATCAGCCACTGTACACGCTTTTGAGAAGCCAGGACAGAAGCGGCCTTGCCTACCCGAGGCCAGAGTTCCTTGCACTTTTAAACGGGATCGTCACATTCTTCGAGAAAATAGCAAAACACCTGCCACGCACGCATGTTCTCGAAGTTCTACAGCTGCTTGTAGGACCGCATCTTGAGGACGTACCTCTGCTGAACTGCCCCGAAAGTGTTGACAATAGTCACGGAAGACGGTCAGCAAGTTTGATTGCTGACAGATTCTTCAGGATCCTTTTAGTGAATCACTCCACTCGAGTCACCGACGACAATGAAAAGCACATGAACTATACATACATAAGCCGTCGAGGAAGCACTTCCGACTGTGAAGCTTCTCCAGCTCGAACAACGTTTCTTTTGTGCAAGACTGTTCTGTCACGCCGAAGATGATTTTTCTGGTGCTCGAACTCGTTTCCATATAATAAACTAATAAACTCGTTTCCAGTTTGCCTGGTGCATTTCAGTTCACAGATTATCCCCGATGCTTTTTCTTCGGCATGCGTTTTTAAAGATTTCTAACTAACGCTCTGCAAGTTTTAAGTCATAACCTATGACAATTAGAGTACGCCGCTAAGAACTTCAACCTGCATATGAAACCGAAACATTGAAACTAGCCAAGGCGAATCAATCACGCTGCGCTGAGAGCAAAATTTTGCAGCAATTCTCTTTGTTGCACCCGATGGCGGGCGCCCACGATAGCGGAGTACTTAGGATTTCAGTTCAGAAAAGGGGGAGGGGGGGGGCAGGGAGGGCAGCGTGAAAGACCAAAAAAGTACTCAAAAATTAAGCCACACAACAGAAAAAAGCCAAAGCTTGTAATTTATTCACGATACACTAAAAATTTAGGGCGATTCCACGTTCTGTCGAATTTTGTAATTATTTCATTAATTTCTTCAGAGAAATTGCAAAATGGCTCATCGTCGCTTTGAGAACATACATAGAAGTCGCGTATGGCTGGTCACGGCCGGGCTAGAGAGAAAGCGGCGGGCGCTGTAGCGCGCGCGGCGCCGCTCTCTAGCCCGGCCGTGGGCTGGTGCGTAGCGTGCGACACAAACCATTATTCGGGGATGGGCACGCAGTCTTCGTTTGGTTCTTTTTACCCGGCCCCCTTTAACCCCCCTTCTGCGTACGCCAGTAGCGGTGATTGTAGTGAAAAATAAAAAAAAGAAGAGCAGAGGCCGCGCATAGCTCGCCCGCGCGCGGAGTGGTAGACGAGCACGTCCGCAGGGTTGGCCCGCAGCGCCAGCTCCTAGCAGCGGCCGCAGGCAGGAACTAGGCCTCTTGCGAAGGCCGTATGAGCCCGCCGATCGCTCTCTAGCCCGGCCGTGGACAAACAAAGCCGATTCGGAACAGTTTTATAATATTACTCATTTAAGTTGAACTGACATATGTGGGTTTAGCGTAGATGAAGCTGTGCAGTACTTTTCAGCTTTCCTTATTGACGCGGCAGCCAAGTGCATACCGCAAACATGTGGACTGCCCGGCGAGCGACATGTCTCATGGTGGAACACTGAGTGTCGTAATGCGTGAAAGAAGCAGAACAAGGCATGGAGGTTGCTTCGGAACTCACCGACAGCCGAAAATCTTGACAGCTTCAGGAAAATAAAGTTTAAAGGCAGAAGAACGTGTCGGCAGGCCAGAAGAAAAAGCTGGCAGAAGTTTTTATCAGGCATCAGCTTATATACACAAGAAGCTAAAGTCTGGAACATGGTTGGTTGGGTAGCAGGAAGACAAGTACACTCACTCCCACTCGTGAATTCACAGGGTGATAGCGTGGAACAGTGGTTCTGAAATGGGGGCCCGCGGATACTAGAGGGTCCACGAAGCCATTTCTACGATCTGCAAAACCCTCATTGTAATTTTTTTAAATTTTAAGCGTGACAGTGCCATGCATTGATGAACTGCCCAAAATGAAGCGATGTGGCCCGTTTATTTGATGTTTTTGGTAGCAATACAAAGCCCCTATTTCACACTGCAGTTGTGTTAATTTACCTACGTTCCCCCTCCCCCTTCCCCTCTGCTGCAAAGGGTCCCCCATCATTTCCACCAGTCCTCAAGGGACCCCCACTCATCCATGGCTGAGAACCACTGGCCTTAAGGATCAGGTGAACTTCCCCTGTGCACGCTACAAGCAGGTGTCTAGCTCATCACACTATACTGAAGCTTTCCAAAGATATAAAGCAAAAATAGAAAAGCAGAAACTAGGACACAAGTCTACAAAATACGAGGCATACAACCAACCTTTCAACTTAGCTGAGCTACAAACATCACTAAGCTCCTGCATTAGTTGTGCCCCAGGCTACGACCGTGTCATGTATGAAATGTTGAAGAACCTGCCGCTCAAAACGCAAAAAACTTTACTTTCCCTATACAATGCTATCTGGCACCATCACTACTTCCTGGGGATGGCACCATTCCTACTTCCTGGGGAAGCGCTCTGTCTTCTCAGTCTGTTCTTTCCTGTGTTCGTTTTTTCGCCTCACGCTACATAAATTTCTTTCAAAAATTTCTTTCTACTTCCTGGAAAGAGGCTATTGTTATTTCTATCTTGAAACAGGGCAAGGACCCTTCCTCAGTTTGGAGTTATAGGCCCATTGTACTTACAAGCTGCCTTTGTAGACTTTTTGAAAAGATGATAAACCGCCGACTTTTACATTTCCTTGAAACACACAATCTGCTTGACCGATTCCAGTGAGGGTATTGAGGGGGTGGATCCATCGCGGGTCATCTGGTGCATATTGAGGCAGAGGTCCAAGACGCTTTCGTTCACAAACAATACTTCCTTTTTGTGTTCCTCGATATCGAGAAGGCTTACGACACAAAATGGCATTTTGGCCTATTAAGAGACTTGTCTCGCCTGGGTGTGCACGGTAGAATGCTTTCTGTAATCGAAAGTTACTTGTCCAGTCAGGCATTCCGTGTCGGTGTGGGCTGTGGTCTCTCCCGAACATTCGTCCAAGAAACGGGAGTACCGCAAGGTTGTGCGCTTAGTTGTACACTTTTGATTACCAAAATTAATTCCTTGCACCTGTCCGTACCCCGCAATATGTTTCGTTGTACATATGTCGATGACGTCCAGCTTGGCTTGAAGTCGTGCAACCTTGTAATGTGTGAGCGGCAGGTTCAGCTTGGTTTAAATAAGGTCTCCAAATGGGCAGAGGAAAACGGATTCCGACTGAACTAACGAAAAGGCATGTGTGTCTTGTTCTCCCGAAAGAGAGGCATGCACTCAGAATCTGACATTCAACTGAATGGTCATCTGTCTGTTAATGCTGAGCATAAATTCTCAAGCCTAATCTTGGACAACAAGCTAACACCTTCATACCGTACATTAAGTATATAAAAACAAAATGCGTAAAAGCCATGAATGTTCTAGAAGTGTTGTCACGCACTATGTGAAGTAGTAGTGACAGGTAATGTCTCATGAATTTGTATAGAAGCTTCATTTGCACCCGGTTAGACTATAGGGTAGTTGTTTATCAGTCTGCCACTTTGAAGATGCTGGACCCCACGCATCATTTGGGCATTGGCTTTTCTACGGGTGCTTTTTGCACTGGCCCCGTGGAAAGCCTGTATGTGGAATTGAATGAGTGGTCACTCCACTTACAGGGATGTGTATTTGTGTATTACCTCAAGGTTAACTGCGGGCGGCCCATCCTTTTCAGATGCCGGTACTCTTCATCTTAACACAGGCAACCTTACTGCAGAAACTCATGCGATACTTGCAGCCGTTAAGGGCATTAAACAAATAAAGCTACAAAGTGCAGTAATGTACACAGATTTTCTAAGCGTGGTAAAAGCCCTCAAAACCCTGAGAAGACACAAAATTTCTGTCCTTGTATCTTTTTACTCACTCCTAAGCGCAGTATACTCGCTCGAATAGCATGTCGTATAATGCTGGGTGCCAGGACACTGCGAGATGAAAGGAAACCAATTGGCGGACAACTTCGCTACATCCGCCAAGCCAACCAATGCCAATACAACAATGGCGATCTTTGCACTTAACCTGAAACTTCTCCTCAAACGAAACCTCAGGGCTTCTTGGCAGCGCACATGGAATACGCACGCACGAAATCAAACTGCGTGTCATGAAGCCGCAACTCGGTCAGTGGCCGCCAGTATCTAAGTCACGCCGCACACAGGTTACGCTAACAATGCTTAAGGTAGGACACATATGTACGACACCCTCATACTTTTTGTCTGGTGATGTTCCACCATTGTGTGAGGGATGTGGTGAAGCACCAACTGGGCTTTACATTTTAATTGAATGTAAGGAATTAGACAGCCTTACTGTCAACATTACCCTACTGTCAACAAATGCCACTCCACCCTGCAATGTTCATCGGTATGGGACCACTTTTCAAACTCGAGTCATTGCTGTCATTTTTAAGACAGGTGCAAGATTTTCAAGTGATTTACCCAGGGAATTCGTAGCACGACCTCTGAAGAGAGGGGGCTGCTGCGGTTATTACAAAAAAACGCAGCACATGCCTCCCGACCCTTATATACAAGGGCGTTCAAGAGGCATTCGTGTTAATGTAAATTATCACCATAGTTTCATTATCACAGTCCTTGGCCACCCATTCTCACTAGACACCTTTCACGTCACTGTCATAATTTTAATATGGCTATGTTTTACCCGCCATAGTGTGTGGAATTTTAAGGCCCTTATACAGCCACCTACCATAAACACCTGCCTCTAGAAATGGCGTCCATCGGCTATTAAATGGCCCTTGTGCCATAAAGCACCACACATCATCATCATCATCATCCTCGAACAATGTCTTCCCCGAGGGCTTCGGGTCAATTGCTCTCAGCTGGGTTCACTTTTCTCGGCCAATTGTCAGTTTCACTAGCGTTTCTCTTGTAAAGCTTTGAACAGTGTTGTGCTGTCTGAAGAGAAAGGGTGCGTTTGAGCTCTGCCACATAGTGCTTGGCTTGCCTGTTTGTACGGAGCTAATGTAATCGACGAGATGCTGTCGTCTCTATAGAACAGGACACAAACAAAGCGCCGTTGTCGGAGACAACCTTGAGCGGTAGTCCGAACGTTGCAAACAACGACCGCAGAGTGCCGATAACTGCTGGCAATGTTGTTGTGACCATTTGTTTTACCTTTAGCCATTTGGTGTGTGCATCAACAACCACCAGGAATGAACATCCTTCAATAGGTCCAGCAAAGTCATTGTGCAGGGTGTGCCAAGGAGTTTCTCGTCTTTACCATTTTGGTATAGGAGCTCTTGGTGAGGCTCTGTGGTTGCACTGGCAAGGCTGGCAATCCTGAACTGTTGATTTGACGTCACGGTTGATACCCGGCCACCACATATAACTTCTGGTGCACTTCTTCATGGGAATAATGCCTTGATGACCTGCGTGGACAAGTGACATGGCTT